ATTAACGAAAATAAATTAAAAATAGGTTCATTGCTATAAACTTAAGTTAATAATAATTAAATATTTTTTATTTAAAGGTTTTTATTTATAAAATAATTTTCAATTTATATTATTTTGCTTTAATAGAAAAAATTGCATTGATTGTGTTGAAAATCCTAGTGCTTTTGTGGAATTTTTGCTTTTATAGAATTTGCTCTTATAGGGCTATAACATTACACTTGCCATAGGGAAGCTATAACATTACACTTGCCATAGGAGCGGCCGGTGCTTTAGAAATGTGTTGCTTATTGGGAGAATTGCTCTTGTAGAGGTTGCTTTTAAGGGGTATAGACTGTAATCGCATTAATATAAACTATTTTAATATACCATCAAAGTTATACTGTACTAGATAGAATATTTTAAAATAGATTCTTAATATTCTGATATAGTTTTATCAATAAACATGATAAAATATAACATTCGCCCAATATTATCCAACTTTAATATTGTGAAAATAGTGGGCTATTACGATAAATGTCATATTTTTAATCTCAATTATTTTGATAAACTATAATTTTTAAGATTAATGTAGAATAGTGCATTTCATTATATTAAAATGTAAAGTTATAACTGTATCCAAATACAAATATAAGTTTTTATAAAAATACAAATTTATATAAAGAAATTTATATATAACTAAATTTAATATTATTTATTTAATGAAAACACAATTTTTATAATGTACTTATTAAAGTTATACATTTTAATTGCTCGTAAGTTTTACATCAACTTAATTATATTTTATCAAATATAATAACACGGGAAATATGTTCTAGCTACACTGGTTCATGGCTGGAGTGCCCATCCATCACATGATGTAATTTGATTTAAATTTATTAATTTAATACACAGATTATAATCATCTTGCAAAATGTAGCACCATTAATTATATTAAATGTTAAATGCCTGAAATATATTTTATAGGATTATTAATAAATATAAATATATTCTTGCTAAATTTTCCGGTTAAGCGCGGCAATGAAATAGGCGCAAGGTGGATGAAGTTCAAGGGGCTCACGGAATCTCAAAAGGGTATTATGGCTAATATTATCCAGGTGTGTGGTTTTTGGGATGAGCCTGTATGCACAATGACCGTGGGCAAATTTTCCGATTCTAAGATTGAAAACTGCGACCGTTATTGCTGCAGTCGGGGCCACCTGACCGGCCAGTGCTATAGGACGGTAGGGGTCACGTCGGACATGGAGTTCCTGTCGGCCCACTGCGTCTGTTCGGACGACTGGCGAGACGTGATTTGTGGCGCCGACGGCCGCTTTCTGGGCATCAGTTGCCCGGACGACAGCGCCTGTGAGCGCAAGTGTTGCCCCAAGAACTGGTCGATAGGTCGGTGCACTGGCTTTCTAGGCCTACAGTGCCGGTGCGGCTAACATATCAGTGTTTCTCATAGTTGCAAGATTACATTTTATTAACAATGATATTTAGTAAATTTTAATTTGTTAATTTGTTTGTGTGCCATAAATATATTACTTGTACTGTAGACTAATAAAATAAGCAATCATACTTAATTTAATACTAAAATCTGTAAGCTAGGCTATTTGTGTTAATGAATATTAAACGATTTAAATATATTTATTTAATTATTCTATGTTGTGCAATTAATTATATTGTCCTAATAAGTTTATATGTATTTTATTTTTTATTTTGAAAATAGTTATAAAGTGTTAATTAATTAATTAATAATTAACAAATGATTTAAAGCAAAACTTATGATAAATACCGTGAACAAGAGCGTAAAAATTTTGCCTAGATTGCGTCATGAAATTTATAATAATTACATATTCCGGTGAATTCATCTTGATTAATAAAACTTTCAAATTATTAGTATCAAAAACGATTTTTATATTCAAATTATATCTAACATACACAATTTAAATAATTATATTGTAAGGTAATCTAGACTATATTTTTACGCTCTTTTCAATGCACTTTTCAGAATTGATCTAGGACCTATGGTTAAAACGTTAGAACTAAAATTATGAAGAAATAATAAAACTAATTATAAAACTTAAAGCGCATTTAAATTCAACGCAGAATGGTTTTTGAAATTCAGAAATCGCATATAAAATGGCCTAGATAACATACTTTTTAGTTATCACTAAGTGTCGCAAAATTCTTGGAGATTACGCCAAAACTCCATATATTTCCTCTGAAGAAATGTAGTGAAACTTTAAACTTACGTTACTCAGTTGTCCTTGGTAGGAAAATGACAAATGGTATGCCTCCTGAAAACGTGATTATCTAGGTATATTTTTCTGAAAACAGATTTAAAATCGGATTATCCGCTCAAAAGTTATTAAGGATTTGCCTACCCGGGGTAGTTTTGTCCAAAACAGTATCTTAACAATAAAATCCAATGTCTTTCGCCGACACTCTCTCTATGAATGACATTATTTTGAGTCTATTTTTCACTGAAATTCTCACATTTTAATCACTTATATATGAATTCATTATTGAGTGACATTTATATGCACTCGATTTGACCCGGGTGCACAATTGAACTGACCAGATGTCCATTTTTGAACTGGATTGTCCCGTTTTAACACATTGTGCCCAGTTATATTTTAAAATTTTTACTACTTATTTGTATTAAAAGGTAAAACGTGTTATATTTATTATATATAATTTTTATTAATTATAGATATATAATTAAATTCTATATGAACCATACTTATATTTTTATATCAAGATATAAAGTTAAATAACATTTTCTCTAAGGAATTGGATTCAGATTGTGATCCAAATGAATAGCTTTATCAGGGGTTGTCTTAAATGATTTGACATTATTTCCTATTTTCACTTTAAGATCATTTGCAACAATACTGTTAATGAGGACAGACTTCAAGCTATTGTTCTCCCAATAGATATCCAACTGATGTCCGCCTCTGGCTCTCAGACCCTTCGCGTGTCCGGTCTTCCAGTCCTTCGGCAGCGCCGGCAACAGCTCTACCACTTCGGCGTGACTTTGAACCACATATTCAGCGACGGCTGCAGTGATACCGAAGTTGCCGTCGATTTGCATCGGAGGGTGTAATCCAAACATATTGGGACAGGTATTACGGTCTGCCATCAGCTCACGGAATAGGTGATAGGCGTTGTCGGCATCCCTGAGCCGGGCGTATGTGGCTGAGCGCCACGCGAACGACCACTCCCTTACATCACTGGACGGGTCGATACCTCTGGCCTTAAGTGACACCTATTTATGATGTTTAGAGGATATAAGGTTGAGGTAAATGTCTTATGATTAGACATTATATTATATAAATCTATATATAATATGTTGAATACCAGGGAGGCTTTGGCCAAAGCAGGTGTAGTTTCCATATTAAATTGATGTCCGGGATATACGCCAAACAAATGGGATGTATGTCTGTGATGGTCAGTCTTCTCTCCCTTCTGCTCTTCCTTCCATTCCATCAGTTGTCCAAAAGATCCAATCCCTGGCCATAACAGCTTATCCCTCTCACCGGACACCTTATCTCTGAACTCTTTGTCGACTTCCAAAATGTCCGCCGCTTTTACGTAATTTGTGTACAAATCCCATACAATCTCCTGATTATAACTGCATCCGTCCTCATGGGGTCCGTGTTCTGGTGACCAACCCTTAGGGACAACTAGTTTTCCGATCTGTTCTTTAGTACCGTTCGTCACAGTCTTGAGCTGTTCGTCCCAAAACTCAGACACCTCTTTGAGGTAAGGGTAGGCGATGTCCTTCAGGAATGTCTTATCCAATCCGAAAGCGTAATGTTCCCAAAAGTGTAGCGCATACCTGTGCTCGATATTAAAATGACCATGTTACATTATTTATGGTTTCGGTCGTATTACATATAACACAAGCCAGCTAACAATTATATATTTTTATGAAATACAATTGATTATATCCTTTAACTGTGAATCATAATGAAAATTCCTAAATTTAACCTTGATAAATTCTATTTTCAAATATTAAGATTCATAATTTATTAATACGAATTAATCTAGTGGTTGTGTGGGATGCGTATAAAAATTAATTAGCAGCTCAAGTTATTAATTATTAAAACTATATGCACGCCATACATACCAAGCTGAGTTTGTCTTATCCTGGTCCATTTTATCACCCATTCCTTCATAGATATTGTGCGCACCGGAAACAGCCACACCTTTGGACGAGTGTTTGCCCAGAGGTGTCAGTAATTCATCGGATTTTCGTGTTTGTTTGCGCCAACTATTCAGTTGACTACGAATCAGATTGAATAGAGGCATTGCACATTCACCAAGGTTAGTCACCTCCGCAGGCCAGTAGTTCATCTGTATATTAATATCCGTGTGATAGTCCGCATGCCAGGGCGGGCTATTGGTGTCGGTCCACATACCCTAAGAATATTCATAGCGATTCACGTATTTATAGTTAGCATACATATTAAGTATAGTAATGTATGATCTATATAAATGAATGATCAGGCAAATTTGAGACTGACCTGTAAGTTGGCGGGTAGGCTGGATCGTGACGAGGCTATCATGAGATACCGTCCGAATTGGAAAAACATTTCCTCGAAGTCGGGATCAAATTGAGTGACGGCCGCCACCTTACGTCTGACTGTCGGTAACCCCTGTTGCTGTCCGGACGACTGTCCCAAATCCAGGTCCACTCGATTGAACAACGAGTGGAAGTCGGATATGTGTTCCCCCCGTAGGCTATCGTACGACTTAACGGACGCCTTAGCGATACTATCCTTCACATGAATAGCCGGGTCTTCGCCGGACTTAAACTTTTTCGAGTCGTCGAACACATAGTCAGTGCCGGCGCTCACTATAAGCGTCAATGAGTCGCACCCATTGAACTCAATGACCGCACCGTTCACTTTGAGACTCCCGCCCGTGTTGTGGACCAACACCTCCCACGCAAACCGCAACCCATTCGCGAGTTTTCCGTTCACTTCGAGCGTATTGTTGACCGCATGGACGGCCTGTTTATGCGACTCCTGCAGCTCTATACGACCCGTATATGCCTTCCCCTTATCGGCGGACAGTCGGCCGACCAACACGTTTGACACGTGACTCACGAAGTATTCGCGTTTGTATTGAACTCCGTGTGACTCGTACTCAACGGTGGCGACGGCGTCCCCGATATCCAGCGCCCGCTTGTAGTGAGTGTTGACCTTATGGTCGGGTAAGT